TGATAATCCTCGAAAGACTTCTTCTGACACAGACCAGATTTGGACCTGGTAGTCATTGGATGGATGTTCCGAGAAGAAGGGAGACTAGAAGAAGAACCAGAATTGACAAGTTCAATAGGAGACACATGGTGATCTGACGAAACAGGAAAAGAACTCTCCAGAGGCTGAATGGAAGAAGAAGATGCCTCTGGAACAATGAGAGGCAATGGTACAGCAGGAGAGAACTCGCCTCGACAGGGAGAGGAAGAGGGATGATTGACATGGGAATCAAAGTGCTCAGATAAAATGACACGAGTGGAAGGGAGATTAATGGACAGAGACGGAGACGAAGAGGACATAAGATTGGAGTGTAGAGTGCTAGGATGCTTGAAAGGATAAACTAACTCATCATGGATGACATGACGAGAGATGACAAATCTGTGAGTAGTACAATTATAGCACAAAACACCCTTATAGCCTATAAGATATCCCATGAAAACACAAGACGCAGTACGAGGTTGCAATTTATGGGAATTGGTCACCCTTAAGCATGGATAAACAGCAGTCCCAAACACACGCAAATATCTAATATCAGGTAGTTTTTGCATAAGCCGAAAATAAGGAGACTGATTGGCAAGAACCTTACTAGGCATCCGATTAATGAGGTAAGCTGAATGCGCCATTGCATGAAACCAAAATATGTCAGGCATAGAAGCTTCAGTCAAGAGAGTAATGGCAGTCTCTACAAAATGCCTATTTTTTCTTTCAGCAAGTCCATTTTGCTGAGGTGTATAAGGACATGAGACTTGATGCACAATGCCATGAGTAGATAAAAAATCCTGAAACTGATGACTCATATATTCTCCCCCTCCATCACTTTGAAAATACTTTACTGAGGCATGAAAGTGATTGGTAATAAAGGCAAAAAACTTGTGAAACAGAGAGAACACCTCAGATTTGACACAAAGAGGGTATAGCCACAGAAAACCAGTATATTCATCAATGAAGCTTACAACATATCGATAACCATCAACCGATTTACAATGTGCAGGCCCCCATACATCACTATGAATCCTATAGAAAGGAAGAAGTGCCTTATCATGCCTTGCAGAAAAAGGTAAATGATGCATTTTACCATTTAAGCAGTAAGAACATATCTGAGATATGGAATCTGAAACTACCGGGAGTTGTGCTTCCTTAAGCATGAGTTGAACAACCTCATTAGTAGGATGACCCAATCGCCTATGCCACAACGAGGAATGAATTTGTTGTCCAAGAAAAGCCATCTTTGGTTGCTTATTGTCTACAAGTATTGAAGAAGGAACCGAGCATGGGATGGGATACAAGCCATGATCACTCTTGCCGTGGAACAAAACCCTGTTGGTGACTTTGTCCTGTATAGAAAATCCAAATTGATCAAAAATCATACGGCAATTATTATCCCGGCACAAGTGATACACAGACAAAAGATTGGCCGTAAGCTGAGGCACATGAAAAACTGAAGATAAAGATAGAGAAGAAGTTGTAGTGGGAATATGAGCAGAGCCAACATGATCAATGCGCAAACCTTCCCCATTTCCCACTCTGACTTGATCCGAAGAGGTTCAAGGTGAAGCAGAATCCAGTGTTGTCATATGAGGCACCATGTGATGACTTGCCCCACTATCTGCAATCCAGACTGCATCAGGAAAGAAAGAAGGCTGAGCCGTCATCGCAGTAATGGAGGCAGGAGGTGGAGAACCTTGATAAACATAGTTGGAGCGATGGTAACAATCCAGAGCCCCATGACCCTTTTTGCCACAAATCTGACATTCAATTGTAGAAGAGGACCCGTGAGAAGAGGGATTCGAATTGCGAAAATAGCAATTGACCGCAGTGTGACCTCGCTTGCTGCAGATCTGACACTCAGGAACAACTCCACCACCAGACTTAGGAGGACCATGAAACCTGCCTTGAAAACCACGACCAAAAGGTCTAGAACCAGAGAATTTGCCCCGGCCACCAGAAGCATGAGAAGAAGAACGACCAAACGGCTGCGAACTCATATAAGCAGTATGAGGCATTAGAGGTGTTGGAAGGAGACCATCACCATGGCCAGAACCAGAGAAGGCATGGGAAGAACCAGAAGAAGAGGAATGACTTAGCATGCCAACCATAGGTGCATGAGAAGACAGCACGCGTGCCTCTGTGGCTTGTTCAGCTGCCAGCAATTGATTGCGAAAGTCTTTGAAGGAAAGCGAAGTGTCACGAGCAACCAGGACTGTCCGAATCATATCAAACTCAGAAGGAAGGCCATTCAAGGCTGCAATCATCATATCATCATCGGAGACCGAAACACCGGCGATAGCAAGGTGATCGCGAATATGTTTGAGGCGAAGCAAGAACTTCTCAATTGAGTCAGAGCCTTTCTGTGCAGTCTGAAGCTCTGTTTTGAGATGATTGATACGAGCACGAGAGACGGTGGCATAACGATCCGTCAAATTCATCCACGCATCATGCGCCGTCTTGCAACCGATGACATAATCGAGCGCAGCATCAGAAAGCATGGCGATCAACACGCTAAGAAGTGCTTTGTCGACCTGCATCCAGTCCTTGTAGGCTGCAGTGAGTTCAGAGGTGACACCTTCCTCATCCAAAATTGCGAATTTTGGAGGTGCAATGTTTGAGCCATCAAAATGGCCAAAGAGATCGTAGCCGTCCAGAACAGACTCAAGTTGATATCGCCACTTCAAGAAGTTATCATCTTTCAACCGGATTGTGATAAGACCGAGAATACCGTCAATTTTGAGATGTGAAGGCGCCATGAAAGCAGAAGAGAGAGGAAGCACCGAAATTGCAGAACGAAGAAATTGAAGGAACGAAGAAACCGAAGAAAAAGCAGAAATTTAGGTCATACACGAAGAAGAAATTGCAGAAATTGCAAGAAATCGCAAGAAATCACAAGAAATCGCAAGAAATCGAAGACAGAAACGGAATGCAGAGATTTGCAGAAATCGCAAGAAATTGAAGACAGAATCGGAATGCAGAATCAACAAAGGGGAAGTAAGGGCAAGAAATCAGGGAAAGGAGAAAAGAGAGAAAAGAATAGGATAGCGGAAGCAAGAAAACAGGATCGGACTATGGCGATGATACCATGATAACTATGGTAAAAGAGATAGAGAAGAAGATGTTTGTTTAGAAGTTTCTGAGAGCAGATGAGAAAACTGAATGATATATTTCTTACTAAAATATGATTTTGTTACAGTACAGTATATATGTATATACATAACCATGCTAACAGCTGACAGCTAAGCTAACCAACCTGCTAACCGTTGACAGCTAAGCTAACCAACCTCCTAACAATGTTAACAGCTCTAACCAACTCTAACCATTAGGTAAACACCCCCTCTCAATCTCAGTCAGGGTGCCTAAACTGAGATTGGTACAATGCTTAACAAATACTGGACTATGAAGCCCCTTAGTAAGAACATCTGCCACCTGTTCATCAGTAGGAATGTAGTGCACTAAGAAGTCTTTGCGTTGTACACGTTCTCGAACAAAATGGAAGTCGACATCCAAATGTTTGATGCGAGAATGGAACACGGGATTAGAGCTGAGAGCTAACGCAGACATGTTATCACAAAACAACAGAGGAGGATCTGGGAGAAAGACATGAAGATCTGCAAGTATCTGACGAATCCAAGCGACCTCTGCTGAAGCATTAGCAAGAGCACGGTATTCAGCTTCAGTGGAGCTACGGGAGACAGACCCCTGCTTCTTAGACTGCCATGAAATTGGATTGGAACCCAAGAAGACAACAAATCCTGTGGTTGATCGTCGAGTGGTAATATCCCCAGCCCAATCTGCATCACTATATGCAGACACAGAAACTGGAACAGACGAAGAGTAAGTAAGACCATACTGCAAAGTGCCTTGAATGTAGCGCAAAATCCTTTTAACCAACTGAAAATGAACCTCTGTGGGATTGTTCATAAATTGGCAGACAGTGTTAACAGAATAGGCGAGATCTGGTCTTGTAAACGTTAGGTACTGAAGAGCACCCACTATACTTCGGTATACTGATGGCTCCTTTAAAGGTTCACCATCTGTGGGAAGAACTTGTGTGTGAGGTTTAGATGGAGTTGGACAGGGCCGACATGATTCCATCCCAGCCTTGACTAAAAGATCTTTGGCATACTTCTGTTGACTGATAAAAAGGTCACCATTCGACTTATACGAAATCTGTAAGCCAAGAAAGAAGGTAAGAAGACCCAAGTCCTTGAGATCAAACACTGAACCAAGATCTGTAATAACCTCTTGAATAACTTGAGAGTTTGAACCTGTGAGAATAATATCATCGACATAGAGCAACAATACAACGATAGCTGAATCTGAAATCTTCACAAACAGACTTGGATCACTATGTGACATTTGGAAACCAAGAGAAGGTAAGTAGCCCGTGAACTTTGCATTCCAGGCCCTTGGAGCCTGTTTTAAACCGTATAAAGACTTCTGTAATTTGCACACATAGTCAGGATGAGAAGAGTCTTCAAACCCCTGTGGTTGTTTCATGTAAACCTCCTCGTCAAGATCGCCATGGAGAAAGGCGTTCTTGACATCAAGCTGCCGCAAAGACCAGCCATGAATAACAGCTAAACTGAGAATAAGACGAACTGTGGTATGACGTACCACTGGGCTGAAAGTTTCATCGTAGTCAAAGCCAGCCTCTTGACTAAACCCCTGTGCCACCAGTCGAGCTTTATAGCGAGAAACTGTCCCATCTGAATTTCTTTTGATCTTGTAAATCCACTTGGAGCCAACAATATTTGTATTAGCAGGGCGAGGGACTAGACACCATGTACCCTGCATTGTTAAGGCAGAAATCTCTTCCTCCATAGCCTTAATCCAGGCAGGAGAGAAAGATGCCACACGAAATGTAGAAGGCTCATCAAGAGTAGTAGAGTCATGCATAGAAGTAAAACACTGATAATCCTCGAAAGACTTCTTCTGACACAGACCAGATTTGGACCTGGTAGTCATTGGATGGATGTTCCGAGAAGAAGGGAGACTAGAAGAAGAACCAGAATTGACAAGTTCAATAGGAGACACATGGTGATCTGACGAAACAGGAAAAGAACTCTCCAGAGGCTGAATGGAAGAAGAAGATGCCTCTGGAACAATGAGAGGCAATGGTACAGCAGGAGAGAACTCGCCTCGACAGGGAAAGGAAGAGGGATGATTGACATGGGAATCAAAGTGCTCAGATAAAATGACACGAGTGGAAGGGAGATTAATGGACAGAGACGGAGACGAAGAGGACATAATATTGGAGTGTAGAGTGCTAGGATGCTTGAAAGGATAAACTAACTCATCATGGATGACATGACGAGAGATGACAAATCTGAGAGTAGTACAATTATAGCACAAAACACCCTTATAGCCCATAAGATATCCGTGACACCTCTATCTCATTCAAAAATCTTTATGATAAGTTGGTTGAACATGAAGCCGCCCTTACACGTGCCGACGCTCCAGTTACCACACCTGTCAT